AGTCATCTACCGACTAAAAACTGTCAGGCCCACCAATCAGTGCCCCCCACCCCCCCGGACCCCAAATTTATCAGAAAAAAGGGGTATCTGGACATACATACAGAAATGGTTATAGCTCAAAAACTATTTAATGTAGGAGCTTCAGATTTCTTTGGTTGTTTAGCTCTGATGATGGGCTATCCATCAGGTCCACCCACCCCCCACCAAAAAAAAGACCCCCATCCAAACCACTACAATTTTGGGATGCACCTAGTAGCATGACATTTATTAGGAATAAAGACTTCTGAGTTCTGGTGCATTTGTGCGTGCGGGGGTCATTTTGTTACCACTATGTGGTATCTAGTTCAAAACACAAGTCCCAAGGAACAAGGCTGAAGAGATTACCTAGACGACGTGTCAAAGTCAAGGCCCGTGCGCCAAACCTGCCTCTTATTGATATTTTATTCAACACTAAAAGTGATCTTTTACATTTAAAGAAGTTTTATTGTTTCTCTTTTTGTCAGTGAAATAAGTGTAGGTTTCATTACAGCATTTGATTTGAACTGGATTCTGTTCATAACTTTTATGGACAGAATTTCTAGGTGCAGCCAAGGTGTTGAGGGGATCCTTTTTGGTGACCTTAGGATCACGTCTCTGCTTTTTGCGGATGATGTGGTTCAATTGGCTTCATCAGATCGTGATCTCCAGCTCTCACTGGAGTAGTTCGCAGCTGAGTGTGAGGCGGCCGGGATGAGGATCAGTGCCTCCAAATCCGAGACCATGGTCTTGAGCTGGAAAACGGTAGCGTGCCGCCTCCGGGTCGGGGAGGAGGTCCTGCCTATAAAATTTGAAGGACAGATGTACTTTGGTCCAAGAAATAAGGCTGTGGAATGATCTGGAAAGTGATTATAAAAATGCTGGCTCAATAAATTTGTTTAAGAGAATGATAAGTGTTTGTTAAAGAAATATGAATAATGTGTTCATAAAAGCTGTTGTTTTGGGAAGGAGTTGAAGTATTTTTGTTTTGTTATTTGAAGATTATTGTTGTTTGAATTTATTTATTTTATTTCTAAAAATTTTTGAAGGGAAAAAAGGGCAGGTATTAATACGATTTTATTTTATTATTTGTATTTTTTAATGAAAATAGCTAAACTTTTTAAACCAAACTAAATTAAACTAAACGTCAGACATCTGAAGGTTTCGGTCCTGCAGAAGCAACTCAAATCAACTCCAAAATCGAGCTTCACTTGTGAACACCGTCACCAGGACCGCCACTCCTCTGTGGGCCTTTAAAGCCACAAGAGGCGCTGAACCAGCATCAGAAGATCCGATCCTGCAGGGCTAATAAAAACAGTGCAAATACAGAAAATATTTTCTGCAACTGGGAAAAACAAGATGCGAGGAAAACCTGTAAGAGATTTCATTGTGAAAGCCTGCGAGGACAGACGTTTCATCTTTAATATGGAAATATCAGCAAAACGAATTACAAGCACAGCTACAGTATAACTCTGGCACAAAATCCATGTGAGGAAAAAAAATAAAAATACAATTATTCTTAAATTTAAAAAAATTTACAGAAATTACAGGGAAACTGTCAGATTTTTTTTTTTTAAAAAGCAACGTGTGGAAAATGGTTGAAACAAGTCAAGAAACCTAATAAAAACAAAATGCACTTGGCTTGGAAGTTGGTATTTACATATTTATACACGTCTGATGGTTATGTACAATTTGATGATGCGGTGGAGAAGCGGAGGGTTCAGGTCAGGCGGTGTGCAGCGACGTGAAGCCAGCAGAAACAAAGATCATCTCCTCTGTTTTTATTTAAAAAAAAAAAAAAACTTGTCCTCCTCCTCATGCTCAGCCGAACCCCAACGTTTCGTTATTCTTACCAACTCACTTTGCATAAAGGCTGACATTATTCAAATCAAATCACCAGAAGTTCAAATCAGCCGAGATTGTTTTTTTTTTTTAACTTCCTGTTTTATTTAAACAGCAGTGCCACGAGTGATCAGTGATGGCTTCAGTCCACACAGTCAGTAAAAACAAATAGGATTTGTTGTTGTTGCATAGTCTCAGTGTGGTTTGTGTTTTCTTTTCTTGTGTTTTTTGTCTTTCTTCTTGCTGGAACATTTTACACAGAACCACTGCAGGTCGTCGGGAGGCGGACTCAAAATTCCAACACAAGGCCTACGCAGATGAGAGAAGGTTGTGTTAATGAAAAAACATGGGGATTTTTAAAACAGGGTCACATTAAAAATAAATAAATAAATAAAAAAGGCACAGTTTTTGTCTTTGTACATTTAATCTCTTTTCTTTATCTGGTAATGTATTTTCTAAATTCTGCATAAAACAATTTGGAAAAGGTCATTTGTCTTTCCGCGTGAAAAAATTATTAACCTTTTATCAATAAATATTGACAGAAACTGACTCAAGTTTTGAATTTTGCCCCCCCGAACAAAAGTACCGATTCAGCAACTTTAGTATCGATACAGTCCAAGGCAGACGCCACTATGTATTAATTATTTATGTGGATTTTCAGTCATCCAGGACATGGAAAATTAGCAACTGGACGTTTTTTTCCCCGTTTTTGTGGAGCTACAAGATATAAACTGTATTTCTTGAGGTTAGTATCATTATAGGATGGATCTGTTTACTCACACCTCACTGAGGTAAAATCAGATGAAATGAAACAAGAATGTTCAGACTTATGTTTTGAAAAACATCAGATCCAATTTAGTACAATATACTAAATTAAAAAACCTGATTTGTCACATTCAGACTGTCATGAAAAATGCATTATGGCTGGCATTTGCTGCAGTGTGAATGTAGCCTATTTGCCAGAAGACAAAAGAGCAACAATGTTTTTGACCTTGTCTGTGTTGGTTTACGTCATGTTTGTAAAATACCATATGAACCAGTAGGTGGATTAAATAATTCAAGATGGCTGCCACGGCTGCCATGAGCAAACACAAAGATGTGAGTTTTACAGATATTGAGATAAATTTTGATGTAGTTGTAGCTGAGAGTCATCCCCAACTTAAACACTCAGAGCCAACAGCTCTAATAATGCATTAAAATGCACATAACATTATTCTGATCCAAACTACTATAAATTCATCTATTTTCATCACAAGGTCATCTTAGACTAAAGCTTTCCTTCCTGGCTTTAAATGAACCATTCAGCAGGAATCTGAGCCTTTAAATTGCCATGACAGAGTCCAATCAGCTTCAGTCAGCCAGGACGTGGAATAAAGCTGGAAACTAAACTGTAGTCTGGAAAATGTCTCAATATTTTCACTAAAAAATGGCTGCAACATTTGGATTTTGTGAAAAAAATGTGAGACGATGTATAAAAACATCAGTCTGCAGTTATTTTATTAAATCTCTGTGAAATTAAATCTCAAAATCTCATAAGGTTTTGGTGCTTTCTGTTATAATTTCATGTATTTACTGACTGAAACTAATTTAATGGAGAACAAGCAACACCTGATGCAACAAAGTTTACATTTAAAAGTCATTTTAGAAGAAAACTTAGGAAAAACTTCAACGAAATATAAAAGGGAAAACTTTACATTGTTATATCGACACAAACACACAAATAGTATATATATATATATATATATATATATTTTTATAAGCTTTAATGTCAACAGTTCAGACCCATCACTGTGAAATGTTCATTTGCATCAGTAATATTAGGAAGCAAAGCAGAGTCTCTGAGTGGTCACTGATGAAACGTTTAGGTCCTGTGGAACTTTAAGGCTTTATAGGGTTAACTTCAAAGAAATAACCCAATAAGATTTGTTCTTTAGTGTCTAACATGAACTTATATTCCTAAAGAAACTAGCTGTAATATTTTCTGAAGGGTTACAAGAAAACACACAAGCTCCTTCCCAATTATTAGAACAATTATTGTGTAAATGCTAAGTCAGCATTGTGATTGCTGAGTCGACATGCACACTGTTATGTACTATTCCACAATTTTAGGGTTTAGCTAGCCTTTGCTAACTATAGTTTTTAG